GAGCCTGTCTGCGACCTCCCTGTGTCATCCTGGACCGCAGCACACGCCAGAGTAAGGGAGATGAGATGAGGCACACGCTACCTACAATCCAGACGTCTTTCCTTCTAAGTGGTAGGTCCATTCTCTGGAAGCGGCTATAAAGAAGTCACCTGGCTTATATGTTCCTTCCCTTTCCCACTCTCGCACCAGCACATGTCCCAGCACAGGGTTGTTAACGCTCTGCTCTGAGGAGCAGGCAGTGTGAGATCACAGAGAGTGCTTGCAGGGTCCTGCAATAGATGTTCCAGTTACACGATCCACAGATAATCGCCTCTTTAAAAGGAAAAATATGATGGTCTGTGTAACAGATCTGAAACAGGTGCAGGGTCAGAGAGAGACCTATGGTGACAATTGACACCAAGGAGACGGAGCTTGTGCCCAGTTCAAAGAGATTAGCAAGACAGAAATTGGCATCCGCCTGGATGGCGGGGCCACCCCCAGGCAGCTTCCTCCTGCCCCAAGGGTGAGGAGTAAAGAAGTGGGGTGGGGAAATGTAACTTTGAAAAATTATAAAACCTCCACCCTCATCAACGTTACTTGAGATCTAAGTTTTAATCTTTATGAATGCCACTGATGGTACATTTTCATAGCAGTTAGTCAGGAAATGCCACCTACTATTAAAAGCACCAACTGCAATCCAAAGAGGCAGATCCATGTTTTGCTCCAACCCACTCTATCCTATTCACATTCTGTTAATTAATGTTTTTTCCTGTTTGATCTTTGGAGCATTTGTACTAGGCATTTAAATATTCCCGAGGCTGTGATATCCTGCCTCTGTTAGGGTCATCCTTCTTCTGTGCTCCCAGCCACCCCCCTCCCACACCCCCAACAGCTTCACCTTACTTCCCTGGTCAGGACCATGCCATTTGGATGGAGGATAAGTAACTAGGAGTGTACAGGAAGGTAGGGGAAATCAAAGAACAAGGAGGTGAGAGTGGATAGTCTTGGGCATAAAATGTAGGGGTATGTATAGCAAGCAGGGGATGCAGACAGAACACAAAGGGAAAATGGAACTCTGGTTGCCTAAAAAAATTATCTGGTTCTTTTGTCTTTTATTAAGCTAACTAGAGGCCCAGTGCACAAAATTCGTGCACGGGGGGGGGGGGGGGGTCCCGCAGCCTGGCCTGCACCCTCTCACAGTCCAGGAACCCTTGGGGGATGTCCAACTGACTGCTTAGGCCCAAGCTGTCAGTTGGACATCCTTAGCGCTGCTGTGGAGGCAGGAGAGGCTCCCACCACCACCGCTGTGCTCGCCAGCCATGAGCCCAGTTTCTGGCTAAGCAGTGCTCCCCCTGTGGGAGCGCACTGACCACCAGGGGGCAGCTCCTGCATTGAGTGGGATCAGGCCAAAACCGGCTCTCCAACAGCCCCCGAGGAGTCCCAGATTGAGAGAGGGTGCAGGCCAGGCCAAGGGACCCCACAGGTGCACGACCAGGGTCGGGGAGGGAGGCAGGAGGTTGGCCAGCCGAAGAGGGACCACGGTAGGGATCCAGGGCATGTCTGGCCTATCTTGCTCAGTCTCAATTGGCCAGACCACAGCAGCAAGCTAACCTACCAGTCAGAGTGTCTGCCTCCTGGTGGTCAGTTCACATCATAGCGACTGGTCAACTGTCTGCCCCCTGGTGGTCAGTGCACGTCATAGTGAGCGGTTGAGCAGCCTTAGCATATCATTAGCATATTATACTTTGATTGGTTGAATGGATGACCAGACAACCAGACACTTAGCTTTTATTAGGCTTTTATTATATAGGATAGTGTGTACATGTATTTGTATTAAACAGTAAATTAGATCTGAGGGAAATGCAGAATGGGGCTATTCATACAAGAAATAGAGAAGTAACAGTAGGAGAAACCCTGGGTTTGATTGTACAAAAACAATACTAATTAGCATTATGAGTCATTTATCATGTATGAATTCATGGTATATACACACAGCTATGAAACCCATCACTCATATGTGGCAGATTAATTTATTTTAGGTTTTACTTGATTATACATTTAGATCTAGTTTATTATGGCATATCTGTTAAAAACTTTTAAAATTCTACACTATTTAGGTGATTTTGAATACCTTTAAATATCATAGAATGAGAAAAGTAATTAAAAAACAAGATAAAAAGGAATTTACAAAAATAAAATGAATAAAACATGCTATAAAGGAGAATATGTAGTATTTAATAAATTCAACAAAACATAGAGGAATTGAAAGAAGATAGTTTAAAATAAATCCAGTGGAGGAAATATAAATGAAATAGAAAACCTGGTTAAGAGCAGGAAAAGAAAATAATCTGAACTTTACCAAACCATGTTAATAAATATAAATTGTTAAATTTGCAGATAATTTGCCCTATTGGGACTGGAGAGTAAAGACTTTTCTAGAAAGAATTGTACTCCAAACTTTCCAAACACAGCTTCCACATCACATAGTGTCTGAAAGCCAGAGTACATTCTTTCCAGTGCACCACGGTGAAGATTTTTACTATGATTAGCAGTGCTAATCTTCTCAAAGAGAGAAGGGATAAAAGAGAAAGGAGAATAAGTGGAGAAAATTATGGCTTAAAAAAAAATAATCCCTGGAGAGAAAAGAGTGTTCTTTACTGTGACCCCAGCAGAATATGGAAACATGTCAATCTAGCTCTGTCTACATATCCAAAGACATCTGAGCTGCTGGAATGCCCTTCTCCACCCACCCACTGCCAAGGCCTCTGGCTACCCTGGCACCTACTGGCTCAGGAGGCAGGAGCCTCCAACACAGGGACCTTGGCTGCCACAGAAAGGAGAAAAGCTCTGAGCCTCACATTCGTGTGCCCATCTGTCCTCCACCAGGCAAGAGAGAGACAGGGAAATTTACTGCTGACATTTCTGGGCCCCTTGCCATTTACAAAGAAGAAGCTGAATGGGACATATGGAGCTACTTGCCATTCCTCCACACCTTCCTCACAGCACTGACTGCAGGACCCAGCCAGGAGGCCCAGGTTACACAAAGGACATCAGATTAATTGTGAAGGATGTTCTTAGGGTTTCTGAGCAATGACATTCTCAGTCTTTCCCTCAAAAATATCCTAGCCCTAGCCAGGTGGCTTAGTTGGTTGGAGCATCGTCCTGTGCACCAAAAGGTGGCAGGTGTCCACTCAGGACACATACCTAGATTGCAGGTTTGATTCCCAGTTAGGGAGCATTTGGGAGGCAACCAATCAATGTTTCTGTATCATATCGATGTTCTTCTCTCTCGCCCTTCCTCTCTCTCAAATCAATAAAAACATGTCCTTGGGTGAGAAGTAAATATGTATATGGTACATATATAGGTATATGCATCCTAAAGTATTTGACTACCAAATCATTTGATTTCTAATATTCTGAAGAAATTCATCACCAAAAAAATTCTTCCTTAAAATGTCCATGTTTTAACTTAGCACCGTCTCACTCTGAAGACATTGCCTACTCATAGAAATTATATCAGAATGTGGAGAAAAACAGTACTGGAAAAGTAATCAAATTCATATAAATTACTAAGGCAGTTGGTAATTTCAAAGTTATCTGAGAAGAATATTTTGTCTTCTCTGTCTACAGAAATGAATGAACAGAGAAAGAAATCCTTCTGGTTTTTTTGGGCTGTAAACAGCCCTCACGAGGAAGCCCTTTGCATTTGACTGAAATTTCACCTGTGGAAATTTTTTCCTGGTGTATACTGAACAAGACATTAGCTCAATAGGGAAAGTAGAGATCTCAGAAAACCTACGTTTTGACCTCACTCCTCTCTAGTACATTCTACCATTCTGTATTCACTTACAGTAAAGACACCTCTGCCCTTTATACCTAACAGATCTATTTCATTCTGTTGCTCATTAAAAATGCAATTCCTGTCTGAATAGTGTTTTTCAGAAAGTAACTGGACAAAGAAAGAGGTTTCCCAAACCTGCTTAGTAAGAGTAGGTTGCTCTGATTATTAAGAACAATGACTCCTAGCCCTTAGCCAGAAAGCAGATTGCACTTAAATAGATCTGTTCCTCCCACAAACATTTTTTTTGGTGCCTATTATGTGCCAGTTACTGGGAAAGCACCTGAGAATGCAAAGTAATATGAGTTCCCGACCTTGAGGAGTGACACTAGAAAAAAGTGACAAACACATTCAAAACAATTGCTTGTGCTGGAATCAAGGCACAGGCAACACACTGTGAGGCCCATGCTGGGCCAGGAACTGCCTATCTACAAAGGGATGACGGGGAACTAACTGAGCTAAGATAGGGGATGGGATTGTTGCTAGCTAACATGTAGCAAATGCTTAGCATGGTGGCAGATAGTATGCTAGGGCTTTTTATCCATTATCACACTTAATTTCCACAACAGCTATCATCCCATTATCCAGATAAGGTGGAGTTTAGTAACTTACCAAAGATCAAGCAGCCACAATGGGCTCAGGGCCCATGTACAGCCCAGATGAGGACACAGCATGCCATTGGGCAAGGCCTACTTATCCCTGCCACTGACCATCAGTGTCAACAGCTCTACCACCGATCTGGGAGATTAATGTCTTGAGGAAATTGGAAACTTCTGCACAGCAATTGTACCCATTGCAGTGCTTCTCAAAAGTTCATGTCCAACTCCATGCTTTTAAATGATCCTTCTTAAGAAATGTGTGTTTTCATATTAAGAAATGTGTGTTTCCATAAATTCGCTTTCATAACTTCAAAGCCACTAACTATAATGTAGCCTGCGGGTAGAGATGCATAATCAAAGGCCTCTTAAGTACTTCCCAAACTCAGTTGTTTAATTTACAAATGCATAGTCCTCAGTGAAACAAAATTAAAACTTTCCTATTTATAAATGTTCTCTAATCCTATACTCAAGTGACAAAATAGAATTTGAAAGAGGTCTGATGAATGGCTATCTTTATTGATGTATGTAAGAAAAGATAAGGTAGAACTAGGACTTTTCAGGGGACTAAATTAGCACACAATTACCTCATTAGTTCCAGATCTTGAATCCTGTTCACTAGAACTTTCTTCTAGAAAACACTTCATCTTCTCAACCTTCTCCATGCACTGAAAAAAGGCCACTTTCTCCAGACGGTTGCTGTTGTAACACGTGGTAATTTCCTCCAGCCTCTTCACTTTTAACATCGTGGTGGTCAGTCCGATGAAGTGACTGTCTGGAGTGTTGTGTTCATCTCCCTCTGTCCCAGATTTGTAAATCAAGATGCAATTGTGACTTTTGATTGCACCTTCCTCCTGACTGCAAAGAAAGGAAACAGAGTTCTCATCACTTATTCACTTATTTGACTTTTGGGAAAATGACAGGTGAAAATTTTGAAGTTTCTTCTGTTTAAACTGGAGGGAGGATCCAAAAATAGGAAGAAAAATGCTAATATTAGTATTGAATTTCAAATGATGGAACTTTAAAAGAAAGAAGTTTTTTCACACACATTTTGCTACCAAAGCAAACAGTAAGAAGCACCTTAAGTTTCACTGGGCAACAATATTTTCCTCACTGCATAAAATAATATTTCTATCAAGTGGCCAGTTTAAATACAGAATATAAAGTGTCTTTGTATTTCATTGGGATTGAAGATTTTGCTTCTCCCAGCCCCAGTAGGAAGGGCTTCTTGTGGGAAGGTCGCACATGCTTCTCCTGGGAATTTTGCTCCCTCTGCGGAGTGGTCTCCACCAAATGAATACTTTCCAGAGCCCTTCTCTGCCTAGACTTTAAAATGTTCGGTGTTTATTTTTAAAAATAAATTCGTTTCCTTCTAGCCCTCCCATGTAGATAAGATATCTGCCCAGATACCTTTCTTTTCATCTTCATTAATAGCTCAGTACCAAGGAGTTCAAATCCTTATGCTTTCCTTGAAATATTTTCCTTACAAATAAGGTCCTACACATAATACTGCTTCGATATTAGAGATCTACATGTATGTATGCATGCATGTATCTACACATCCCTTGATTATATGGTGGGGAAGGGTGTGATTTGAATTGGTGGCAAGTTCCCAACACCAACTTCTGTGGCCCTTGCTGGAGATTTTCTGAAAATTTCTTCTTCCAGCTTTTTGTCAATTTAAAATAATCTGTCTTTATCTCCACAAAACTTCATCTTTCATTTTCTTAATTCATATAGTAAAATTATACCTTGAGTTTCAAATTATTTAAAATTCAGTGCTCTACAAAATTCAACGTAGCCGCATGAAGATCTTACATATAGACACACTAAAATGTAAATAGTAGCAACCACAACTCTATAAGATATGTTATAGACCACTATTAGAATTCTTTCAAATTGCCCTGAAAAGAAACTCATTATTAAAATGAGGAGAGAAATGCATAACTATTTCTAAGGCAAATTATGACTAAAATATAATAGGTCATTGCAAATGGAACTCAAAATGAATCAGAAACACACACAACAATTAACATATGAAAACAAAAGAAAAAAAGGACATCTGTAATACTTTCAACAATAAAGATAATTTTTTTAAAAAAGCTTAGGTTCAAGGGATAATAATTTTGAAAAAAAATTAAATGTTAATCTCTACCTGGAGTTTGGTACAACTTGTTAAGACAATGTGGAGAGAAAGAAAAGAGATTTGAGAGGTTGTAATAATTTTTTTAAATAGAGTAATTACCATTTATAGGAGGATATCTAGGGTTTTGAGCACTCCAAGTGTAGAGTATGAGTTCTGGCAGATGAAGGGAAGTTTTTCAGAGTTCAAAATAACTACATGGTTTTCTGGTATAAGCCTTCACTGTCAGTCAGCATAAACCTTCTGAAAAGACAGCCTCCACTATGAAAAGAAGTATCCTTTCTCTCAAACATCACTTTGAGCTCCTGTTTAAACTAATATGGTCCTTGATCTCATGTTGCTCAGCTGTTGCCTTCTTAGTCAGATGGGGAAGTATATTAATTTTAGACACCAGGCTTTTTAAGGCCAATGGCTCCATTTCAGAGGTCAGGTAAGGAAAGGACAGACTGGGAGCAGTGGATGAAATATCACCTTCACCTTTTCCTCTCATCAGTGTGGCAACATGCTCAGAATTATAAAACTGCATTTGTTGTTGATGATCATAAGTCCAGATATTCTGCCCCTTTCAGACTCATGATTATATAACTGCTCATTCCCAGCCAGGAGGATCCTTGGTAAGAGAACCCCACAGACACCTTTGTTTACCCATCTTACCCTGTGAACATGTCCAACTAGAATAGAAGAGATCTTCTGAAAGCACTTAGCCAGTTTTAATCTTTTAATCTTTAAAATTACTTGCAATATCTCCAACTGTTTACAATTCTAGGGAAAGGTTGAAAGTGCAGGCGTCCAGGGAGTTACAAAGAACAGGAACAGGCAACACCATACATTTCCCTCGAGTTTTCCATCACAGACCAAGAAAAGAAAATCCAGCCAAATAATCCGCCTGTCTGATTATAACAGTAGTGCATTCCTAGCTTTATTTAAAACATGGCTTGCTTAGAAAATACAACTAGTAATACAGATAATCCTCTAGTTCCTCAAGGTCTGGGTGATTTTCTCCTCTTTTTTTGGGCCTTTGCTGATTCCTCCACTCCCCACTTTAACACCAACCCCTGGTGCTCTCTTGCTTTTCAAAAAAGAAAAACAAAGTTCTTATTTTTAATTCATATCAATGATGTATTCTATATAAAATAAAAATACATGTTTCCACTTGGATAGTAAACAGCAATTTGGAGCCATCTAGTAAACCATCTTCCCTAAACCAAGGACATTTACGAGTAAATGATTTTCATTTTGCCTCCCTAACCAGAGGGTATAACCAGATGGTGAATAGCTTATATCAATGTACTCAGGGAGATTGATAGCAGAAATCCAATTAGTGTCATTTGCTGACCACACCCAAGGACAAATGAAGTTAGAGAATAAACCTCATTTTGATTAGTCCTTTTCTAGTCTGTTAAAAGGGAAAAGATCTTTCCTGTTTTTCTACCCAGGAAGCAAAAGTTCTATAAACTATTAAAATGGTTATGTTTCATGTTAATCAGGTATTTTTTACAAAAATAAATCTTTTAATCATGGGAATTGAAGTTTACTAGCTCATGTTTGTGTCTAATACTCTTTGATATATCATCTTTTGGCAAAATAAATTTGACAATCCTTCCAGGGTTTGAATTTTAAGAAACTTTTTTTGACCTAAAATTGACTTTAGATCATTCCAATAGGCCCTGGATGGAATGCCTCAAGTATTTGTTTTCTCTCTCATGAAGGAAAATTTTCTGCTTAAAATACATGTGAAGCTTTGTCAAATAATAATAACCATAGTATGCTTTCATTTATAGCTCTAATTGTTATTCTGGAATATTGTGTTTTGCAAAAAGGACAAGATTCCATGTCATTTGCAAGTATTGCTGATTCTTAAACTTTTTGTTTTTCAGATATAAGGAAGCATTTTTAACGCAAATTTGGTAAATTAGATATATTCTCCCCACCTGTCCCTCCAGTATTTGGCAATTCTTAATAAGTGGCAATACGTTTCTTTGCATGAATTCAGTAAGACCTGTTTCCAATTGTAGCTATATTAACCAAGATAAACTGATAATGTGCCTACTTATAGCAGCCATGATTTCACCACGTTTTGCAGAACTTGGTCTATCCAGCATTCCACGGGAATCCCTTACAATCCACAAAGGCAGGCCACCATACTACCCTGCTACCCTGAAGGGTATGCTAGTAAAACAAAAAAAAGGGGGGGGGGGAATAAAGGACTCAAGGATTCTGCTATGATACTATCTAAAGCACACTTTACCCTTAATTTTTAAAATCTGAATGGTCATTTTCAATCCTCTGTAGAACAGCACTTTACCTCAATAACCCCACCTCAGAAACCACAAGTCTTGTGGCGAGATGTGGACACTAATAACTGAATGGGACCCAATGAATTATTAACATGAGGGAGAGGATATGCATGTGTTTCTGCCCTCACAGGGCCATTGTGGGTTCCAGCTCGCCAGATTAAACCCTATCATGACATGGCACGGGACTAACCCTCTTCCAGAAATGAAGAATCTGAGCCTGGGGACTTCGTAGCACCAAACATAGCGCCTTCCCCGGACCCAGATGGCCCCCGAAATAACCTGGGGAATGATGATGAAGCTGACGGCAGAGGCTGAGTAATTATTGGAGCGTACTCACACTCCATGCATTCCAGATAACTAACCATAGCTCTTTTTGTTTTTCTTATAGTCTGTAAAATCAGAACTGGCGCAGTAAACATGATTTGTGGACCCCGACATTCCAAAGCAGAAAGTTCACATTCAGCAAAACAAAAAAGGGGGAGATGTTGGGGAGCACACGAGACTCAGTTGGAAAGTTGTAAGGTGGACATTCTGAGAAAAGGGAAGTGTATGGAAGGCCGCCTGCCCTGTTTATCGGAATTCCGACTTAGGGGAGACTTAGGGGAGTGTCGAAGGCGGTGCCCCTAATTATTCTTTGACCTTTCCAAACAAGTCTGTGCATGTACAGACCTCTGGGTGTTTACTGGAATCCTTACGCTTAATTCTTGTGTCCTTGCCTAGTAATCTTGTGTCCTCCCAAGATTACTCACCCTACTGATTTTATCTAAAGATAAAAATTCCAATAAAAGCCCAACAAGGCAGGCAATCAGGTAATTGAGGCTGCCTGGCTTCTTCAGCCGGGCCATCTTTTGCCCTCTCCTCCACAGTGAAACTGTGTTGGAGTAATCTGTTCATCCGTTGTTCAGGGGCTGCTGGTCAGCCCAGGCAAAAATAATAGATAAAGGAATTGAAGAGGAAGAGACAAAAGTGTTCTGACACCAACTGCGTGACCTGCAACTCAATTCATTTCTGACACTAACTAACTGAAGTTAGTGTCATACTTCACAAATTAAGGGCAAAGTCCCCCATAAGACTGCCCTCACATCAGACACCAGCCTCAAGTCTTGGGACCAGCTGCACTCCTGATCAACTGGCTACAAATTTGGGGGTTCCTACAACCTCCTAAAGTTTGATAATTCACTGGAATTAATCACAGAAATCACTGAAAGCACACTAGTTATGATTACAGTTTTTAAATAATGGAGACACATAATATAACATCTGGGAGGGTCCCAGACACAGAGCTGCCAAGCCCTCTCCCCTGAAGACAAGGCTCATCACCCTCCCTTCACACATGTGTTCACCAACCAAGAAGCTTCACCGAACTTAGTGTTTTTCTTGGGGTTTCACTAAGTAGGCAGATTGATTAAAT